GTGGACTGTGGATGCTTAACAGATGCTTCAACTGTGTTGCATATGCAGGCTTGGTCTGGGTTCAGATCATTCCTGGGAGGGGTTACCGTTAGGGAGGAAAGGAACTGATAAACCACTTCTGCCGCTAGTTAGGGGCAGGCTAGGTCCTAACCTTGATAATGCAATGCCATTGTCTTAGTCTATGTGGGCTTCTGTAACAAAGCACTTCACCTGGTGTTGTGTTTTATGTCTGGGTGTCCCCCCACAGCCTCGTGTACTCATAGGCTGGGTTCCTGGAGAGGAACGGACCTTGGGGGCTCCATCTCCGAAGGTGACTTTGGAGGTAGGCACTGGTTGGAGGAGGGTCAGCTGGGCTATGACCCGGTAGGTTACACCTTCCTCCTGGGTCCCTCCCTTCTCTTCCTGCTTCCTGGTCACCATGACACGAGCAGCTTTCCTGCGCCAGACCCTTCTGCCGTGCCGCTTCCACCCGGAGTCAGCAGGCCGTGGACTGAAACTCCTGCACCGTGAACCAAAATAAACCTCTCCTGTCTTAAATTGCAGGTTTAGGCTACTTTGTCCCAGAGACAAGAAAAGTGACTGAGAAAACTGGGTAATTTATTTTTAAAAAATAGAAATGTATTGCTCACTGTCCTCACGGCTTGAAAGGCCGAGGTGCCAGCAGACCTGGCGTCTGGTGAGGGTTTTTCCTCATGGATGGCTTCATCTTTGTACCCTCACGTGGTGGGACGGGGCAGAGAGCACCCTCAGGCTTCTTTCGTCAAGGCATTAACCCCGTTCGTGACTTAATTACTTCCCAAAGGTCCATTTTTTAAAAATACATTTTATTAGCACTGTACCTATTAATTCTATAAAACGTTGGCTTTCAGTGTGGAATTTCCACACTTGCATACTTTGACCATAGTCATCCACCCTTTACTTCCCCGTACCACCTCTCCTCTTCACTTTTTCCCCTCCTCTTGTCTACTAAGTCTCCCTTCTACTTTTGTACCATTTTTAAATTTTTCAAATATTAGAGAAGACAGGCAATACTTGTCCTTCTGAGCTTGGCTTATTTTGCTTGACATGATTATCTTCAGGACCACCTAATTTCCTGCAAATGACAAATTTTCATTCTTTTTATGGCTGACTAATACATACTTATAGATCACATTTTCTTTATCTGTTCATCTTTTTTTTTTTTTTTTTTTGGTACCAGGAATCGAACTCAGGACCTTGTGCTTGTCAGGCAGGCACTTGTGCTTCTGAGCTGTGCCCCCAGCCCAGCTATTGGGAATTGTGCTGCAATAAACATGGGTCTGAGGTATGCCATCAGGTGTGCTGAGTTCAGGTATGCACCAAGGAGACGTATAGCTGGACCAAATGTTAGCTCTGTTTTTAGTTTTTTGTGGAACCTCCACACTGATTTCCGTACTGACTTTTCTAATTTACATTCCTGCCAGTAGTGTAAATGGTTCCCTTCCCACTACACATCCTCACTGGCATTTGTCCTTTTTTTTTGTATGCTTAATGAAAGAAGTTCTGACCACCATGACATAGAGGCTCAGTGTGGTTTTGATTTCTTTCATTGCTAAAGATGGTGAACACTTCTTCATAGACTTACCGGTTCTCTGTACTTCTTTGGAGAAGTGTTTGTTCAATTCATTTTCCCATTTAGAGAGGGGCATTTTGGGATTTTTTGGTGTTAAGTTTTTTTGAGTTTTTGTAGACATTCTATATAGTAATCCTGTCAGAAGAGTAGCTGGCAAATCTCACATTCCATGAGTAATCTCTTCACTCGTTTCCTTTGCTGTGCTGATGCTTTTTACTATCATGCAGTCAAACTACTATCCATTTGATGAGTCTTGCTATTATTTCCTGTGCTGTTGGAGTCCTGTTCAGAATGTCTTTGCCTTTGGCTTCAAGTGTTTTCCCCATGTCTTTTTCTAACAGTTTCAACTTTCAGGTCTTAGATCTAGGTCTTTGTCCACTTTGAATTGGTTTTTGCATAGGATAAAACCAACTTCTTTTTTTCTTTTTTTTTTTTTACGGTACTGGGAATTGAACTCACGACCTTGTGCTTGCCAGGCAGGCGTTGTGCCACTGAGCTAAATCCCCAGCCCCTCTTCTTTTTTTCTATGTGCATTCTATATGCATTTCTTTGTACTGAGCTACATCCCCAGCTCCCTTTTATTTTTCATTTTGAGGTGGATCTTGCTGAGTTGCCCACATTGGCTCAGACTTAGGGTCCTCCTGCCTTACTTCTTGATGCCACAATATTAAGGATGAGAATTAGATGCATGACTTTTGAGATGACACAGACATTCAGACTGTAGCATGGATTCTGGGTCTTCTGACCTGACTGCTTCTACTTACCTCCCCCATGTCCTCTAAGGAGCAGCCCCTGCCTTTATGGTCCAAGTTGGAGCTCTAGCTTCCACACCCACATTACAAGCATCAGGATGGAGGAAGGCAGGGAACTGGGCAGAGAGTGCGCCCCAGCTTTCTATCAAGGAAAGCTACCAGCCACTTAACCTATCTAGCTTCAAGAAAGGCTTCCAAATGGACCCCAAGATGCCATGCATTAGTTTAAAGCTCTCCCCAACTCCAACAGCCTAATGGCCTTTCTAGGTTTAAAGCGAGCTAACTTCCTCATTCTATCCTTCATTCCATTCCCAGGCCCAAGCTTTGCTCCCTCTCCCCGGCTTCAAATCCCCCTGCCTCTCAGGGTGGGCTGAAGTATCTGCTCCAGGCCCCCTCGTGTGCTGCTGTACCCGTAACGCTCATAACTCTGCCTCAGTTGGTTGTCTCTGCGTCTTAAATCTACTTAACTTTTGGTGCGAAACCCTGGAGGCCTTTGGGGGTAACCAATCCATCAGGCCACCCTTGCCGTTGCTGGCTTCCATACAGACTGGTCATCCTCTCAAACCTAGGCAGCCATTCTCTCTGTCAGGTGAGTCTCTAGGTCTCTTCTGGAAGACCCGGCCATTTTCTTCCATCCATCCATCCATCCAAAACTCTTAGTGCTAGGTCTCAGTTCTTCCCTGCCGGGGGATCTGTCCCTTTGGCCTGGCCCCTCTCCTCTGTCTGCCTAGAGGTCTCACCCACTGCAAGGCCAGTGCAGTCATCTGGTTCACCTTTGTTCTGTCTCCTTAAAAACCTAAGAGCTTTCTATCCAGGAAGGGAAAACATCAAACTAAGAACAGACAAACAAAAAACTTATGTTCTTCTGTAACACGCTTTAACATGTAATAATCAATAACCTAAGCGTAGGGCCATCTCCTTTGCATCCAGCCAGTCAGCCTCCCTCTTGTTTAACCCTGAGCTTTCAACTCTGACTGTTCCCCGAGAGGGGAAGAAGATGCCTGCAGCAGTCTGAGACAGATAACTGCAGTCCTGAAGTACTTCTCCGAGCGTATGGGGACTGGCTTGCACAGGAGCTCACGTCTGGTGAGACGTCCTTTCAGGCTGCAAGTGTGTGCCCGGCAGAAAGAGTCCCAGTTGCCCCAGTGATGGTGCTATGGGCTCCCAGTGGCCCAGCTGAAGACCGGATCCCAGTCCTGTCTAGCCTGAGCCCGTCAGACCGATGAAAGTGTTGTCATCTGGTCCAGGCTGAAGCTTTTGAAAGTTCTTATTAATTAATTAATTTATTTATTCATTTTAGTGTCCACAGTCCTTATAACTCACACCCAAAGGGTATGGTCATCTATCAGGCTGGATTTTCTTTCTCTTTTTTTTTTTTTTTTTTTTTTTTTTTTTCTGGTACCGGGAATCGAACTCACGACAGGGTCTCGCTATGCAGTTCAGGCTGGCCTTGAGCTCACTTTGTAGCCCAAGCTGACCTCGAACTCGGAAGAGGTTGGATTTTCTTACAGATACCAGGTGTGTTTTTTAAAATCAGGTCTCCGGGTAACAGAGGTTGATGGGCTTTTTGTCCCCCTTTTCAATGTCTTTGAGACGCGCTTGACTGGGCTGTTTCTAGGTGAGGCGACCTTTGGAAGGGCCAAGCCAACTCACTCGTCACGGCTGACGGTCCAGTTTTTCCTCAGTCAAATGTGGAACTCGGAAGGAATTGCTGACAGTCATCTCGTCAGGAAGGAATTGCAGATGTCATCTGACCAGGGCAGGCGTGTCTTGGGGGCCTCTGGCTGAAGGCAGGCAATGGTTAGCTGGAAACAGTTCAATTGGCTGGAAGTAGAGGCGTCCGGAACAGGGGGTGAAGCCATAGGTGCTGGCAGCAACTGTGGCAGCCGATGAGGGTGCCAGGATGGAATTCTCAGGAAGAATGGGCCTCTTTTTTTTCTTTTTTCTTTTCTTTTTTTTTTTTTTGAGACACAAGGAGCCTGGGATATGGCTCAGCAGCACAAGCACCTGCCTTGCAAGTGCAAGGTCCTGAGTTTGATTCCCCGTAAAAATAAAAAGAGAGAGAGAGAGACAGGGAGCAGTTTGGCTTCATTCTTCACTCCATAAAAGCCCTTCTTCCTGCAACCAGGGGCTGTGGGTTTGACCGCTTAGTTCCCATCTCTGACTTCATGCGTGTTGTGTACTCTTGAACGATGAGAGGTCTCTCCCTCAGAGGGAGACCACTCAGATGCCCACCCAGCCGGGCACAAACGGTGAAGAATCCTGGAGCATATTAGCAGATCAGAATGGAAGCCCTGGCCCAGCACTCCCAGAGGCCGAGGCAGCGGGGCTGTGAGTTCAAGGCCAGCCTGGGCTACATAGTGAGTTCAAGGAAAGCCTGGACTACACAGCAAAACCCTGTTTCAATTTAAAAAAAAAAAAAAAAAAAGGAAGTCCTGTGATGGGAAGAGAGTGCAACTAAGGTTTCCACTCCCGGACTCTAAGCTGGTTGCTCTTCTGCTCAAGCACCGCCCATGGTTCCCACCGTCATCATAAGGGCCCTGTGCTCAGCCAGAGGCAGTCAGGGCCTTGGGATCAGAGACCCAGCCCTCCTGCTCCCCCGTCACGCCCACCCATGGCTCCCCAGCTACCCCTGCTGGCGCTCACTGAGACTCAGGCACAGGTGGCAGCACAGTTTATTCCTGAGAGTCTGCAAAGGAGGGTGGGTGGGGTCAGCTGGGTCCCAGGCCAGGCGTTGGGGCTCCCTGCGCCCCGGCGCTCAGCGGCTCCAGCCTCAGCCACAGCCCGCCTTCTGCGCGCAGGATCAGCTCCGGCTTCCTGCGCGGCTCGGCGACGTCGGGCAGGACGCGGAAGCGCAGCAGAGTCAAAGCCAGCGCCACCTTCATCTCGGCCATGGCGAAGGTCTGCCCGATGCAGTTCCTGCGGGCGGGGAAGGGAGGGACCGTGACAGCGCCCGGGACCATCCAGCCCCGTCGTTCCGAACCTGACCCGGGACCCCACCCCACCCTGGTCAACTCCAGGGACAGCGAGGGGCGCTAACGGTGCCTGGACCCGAACTGCGCCTACCCAGCCCTATCCTCGCAAACCTCGCAGGAGCAGCGAGCAGACCTGGACCTCTGTCCATCCACAACTTCCCTGCATTTCCCCCACAGCGTCGCATCTCTTCCCACCGGCCCACCCTGACCTCAGAAGCCCGCTGCCCTCACCTGGACCCCACCGAGAAGGGAATAAAAGCCAGAGGTGACCTCTTCTGTGGATTTTCTGGGTCGAAGCGGGAAGGGTCATAGACCTGGGATATAGCAAGAAGAGGATGCTGGAGTGGGGTCTCTGCTCGCCCAGCCACTCCAGTGGAAGACAGGTGTGGTCCAGCAGAGGGGGAAAAGCTGGCTTCCCATGGTCAGGCCCCAGGGCTTTGGAGGATGGAGAAAAAGAGGAGCAGCACCTCAGGGTCTGGCCAGATCGAAGGGTTGTGATGAATCCCGAAGATACTTATAACACAGATGGTTCCTGTCCGGCAAAAAGAGGCAGTCAGGAGAGGTCCGTGCTGATCCGCAGGACCGCCACCCTGCCCAGGACGACCCTCCCCGGACGCTGTGGGCACCTTTGGGGATGACCCGGGCATCCGGGAGCACAACGTCCTGCGTGCAGCAGCGGGAGACAACAGTGACTGGGGGGTGCAAGCGCAGACTCTCCTTGATGCACATGGTCAGGAAGGGCAGCTGGGCCAGGTCGTCCCTATAGAAATCCCCCCACCCAGCAGTTATTTATGGAGCAAAACCAAAGACTCGCCCTGCCCCATGTCACCCAGTGAGACTGAAGAAAAGAAATGCAGTCTACCAATTTTTAAAACCTATTATAGGGCTGCGGATTTAGCTCAGGGGCACAGTGCCTGCCCGGCAAGCTCAAAGTAGTGAGTTCAATCCCAGGTACCGGGGGAAAAAAAAAAAAAAAAAAAAAAACCCTATTACAATGGCACAGTAAAACATAAAAATAATATTTACAAAACTATGGTACAACAGCAAGAATAGGAAAAAAGGCCGGTAGAAGAGCAAAAAACTCAGAGACAAACACTAATAAGTGAAAACTCAGCACTGGTAGAAACTTCGTGTATTTGTGGACCCACTGACAGATGGCTAGGTGGAAGATGTCCAGACAACTGACAATACGTATACAAAAGAACTGAATCTTTTTCACCTCCATATATAGAATGGAGTCTCCTATGTCTGAAAAGTAAACTAGATAGCTAATTAGTATATCTATCATGTCCAATATTTATTATTTCTTTGCGGTGGGCATTTTCAAAATCCTCTCTTCCTGCGGGGTGTGTTGGCACACACTTGTAATCCCAGCACTCGGGAGGTTGAGGCAGGAGGATCACCTGGGCTACATAGTGAGTTCAAGGCCAGTCTGAACTACATAGTGAGACCCTGTCTCAAAAAATAAAAATCCTCTCTCCTAGCTATTTTGAAATGTGCAGTACATAACTGTTAGCTATAGTCTGTTGGGGACCATTACAAAGTGGCTCTGAGCAGGATTTAATATTAACCAATTGGCTTTCCGTGTGAGTTGTCTAAAGGCTGCACTGAGGACGTCTGGCTTCAACCCCAATTAACTTAAAGGAGACGGTAGCTGCAGGCATCTCACTCCTGCTGTGAAGGCCTTCCTGGAGATAACGTAGTTCTCCTAAATTAAGATAATGTATTACTTGGAAAAGTCCTGCCCAGATGCCTGGGTTTTCTTGAGTATCCTCCTCCTTTGTTTGTAAACCAAGTAAATATGGGCCGCCCAGAGCAGTCTTGGGCTAACTCAGAGAATACTGAAGCTATAAGGGAGTTAGTCCCTCCCGGTCCCCTAAAATCATTACCACCGTCTGACTTATTTAAGCCTTCACTGTCCACTCACTTGGGAGATTTCAGGCCTGATCAGCCTGCAGTAACTTAGGGTTATTTAACCCAGTTTTCGATAACAGTCACCCTTCTGTGCAGAATAGAATTATTCCTCCTAAGTGTAACTTTGTATCCATTTAGTAACTCTTTCTATCCCTTTACCTTCTTCCTAACTAATTAAGAAAAAAATAATAATAAAGCTCAAGCAAAATAACATTTTGGTCACCTAGCAGTAGTAATGTTTTTAAGAATTAAAAAAAATGTAAGACAAGAAAAGACAAATATGCATGAACATGAAGGATTTCTGTGTAATGACAGGTACCATGGACTACATTAACAATCAGATGAGATACTCACATGTCTACAGTCAATACATAGATTTAGAACAATATACATTACACACAAAAAATTCCAGAAAATTAACATGCAAGAGGACAGGTGACTCAGGAGAAAAACAGACAAAGATATAATGTCGGAATTGACAGAGATCACACACAACATTTCCCTTGCTAATCCATCTAGGACTTATTCCCACTAGGCGATAATGGCAGAATCGGTGAAACATTTTCCCCCATCCCCAGAGAGCAAAGCCGTGAGAGGGAGCCTGACTCACCATTCAATCTCTTCAGGCTCACGCCCCCTCAGGAGCTCTCGCACCTCCTGCCGGCAGCGCTCCTGGTACTCCGGGTGCCTCGCCAGGTTGTACAGGATCCAGGAGAGACCACTGGCCGTGGTGTCATGGCCTGAGCAACAGCAGGGCAGCCTTGGGTCTCTGAGCTGCTTCAGCACCAATCACAGTGTGGACAGCGCCCGTCCCCTGAGACCCCGGGGAGGAAGCGGTTGTGGGAAGCATGGACAGATCCACGGTCGACCGACCACATCCCTCAGATGGAGAGACCGTGCACAGTCTGGACTTCCACACTGGAGCCCTCACCTCCAAACATGAAGGTGTCAGCCTCTGCTCGTATGTCCTCATCTGACAGCTCCTTTCCATCTTCATCCTGGAGAGAAGGCAAGACCCTCAGATCACACTAGGTCTGAGGGCTCCTGAGTCTAACCTGAAATAGGCCATGAAGACCCAACACCCAGGCAGCATCCCTCCCTTGTCATCCCCAGAGCCTGCTGCACAGGGCTCCTCCTTTGTCTCCTGCCCCCTATTTACTCCTTCTAGGCAGCCATCTACACAGTCACTCCTAAAACCTACCTCTGCTTGTCTCTCCCTTCCTCAGGAACCTTCTATGGCTCCTCAGTACCCTCTCAGGCAAATTCAACTTCTTCTATCAGACATTAAACATCAAGGTCCATGCTCCTCTTAAATTGAAGAAAGCCCACCTTGGCCAGCAGGAGCACATCGATGAAGTCCAAAGTCTTAGACTTAGCCTTGGCCTTGAGAAAGTCATCAACACCCTGGCTGGCGAGAGTGCGCCGCCGCTCCTGGATGACAGCATCTGTGAAGTTGTGCACCAGGTCACAGGCCCTGTGGAACCGCTGCCCGTCAGAAGTGAGGTAGTACAAGAAGTCCATGTACTGGAAGAGCTGGTGGTGCCGTTTGACTACAAGGGAGCTGAGCTCCAAGATGGCAGCAATGTATTCACTGGGATGCCTGCAGGACCAAGGCAAAAAGACAGAGCAACTCCTTAATAGCCAAGAGACCCTGGAGCACCTCCCAGCCGGACTCCAACGTCTGGTACTGCCCATTCCTCCTCGGCTTCTTCCAAATCTTTTCCATGTTCTCCGCCAGGCTCAGACCCCGTCTCCAGATCTCCTTGCATCCTGTGTCTCCTTGACAGTCTGTCCTCTATCAAGTCAAACACCCACGCTCAGCTCTGACAGTGACTCTCATCTCCTTAGACACCATCCATGGGTTCCTAGAACCCTCAGGGTCAGGTTCACACCTCTTTGACAGGCTTGTCAATGCCCTCAAGACCTAGCCACTGCCTGTCTCTCCACCGTCATCTCCCAGGTGCCTCCTCACTCCCTGTTGCATAGACTGTGCTCCTGCGAGCCCCCTTGCCTTTATTCAAACAATCCCACCTACCTGGAAGGACCATTCTCCCTTCCCTTCCCTGTCACTCAATGCCACGTCCGACCCACCTCCTCCAAGGAGTATCTTCTGGTCCCTCTGGACAGTCCTCCCTCCCCACCTCCTTCCTTGGCTCCATGGCTCAGGGTCCCAGCCCAGGGAAAGGACTCACTCCTGACAGTTGCTGTCAAAGCTGAACACGCATTTCTGCAGGCTGTCCAGGGTCATCAGGCTGATGTGCTCAAACATGTCCAGGCGGGCGCTGCCCTGGGAGACCAGGCGCTGCCACTTGGCCTGGCCAGAGAAGCGGACAGAGATGGGAGTGGGCCTTGGCTCCCTGAGCCCCTCCCCAACTCCAAACAGCCTGCTGACCCCCAGGAGGACCAGGGTTTGGTGGGAGCAGATGCTGCTACTGTTCAGAGACAAAGATCCAAGCAATGGTTAAATTGATCTGCCTTGCGTTAGATAAACCAGGAAAGGTATGACAAACTCTCTAATCTCTTTGACCCTGGGTTTCATCATCCATAATATGGCAATCATAAACATCTCTGCTTTATAGCAGTGTGAAAATTACATCAGAGCATAAATCATGGAACTGGCATGCTATTCCTGGTATACAGTAAATGCTCAAAAACCATTGGCTATCATAGCCTCTTCATCATTAGCATAGGGGCAGATGAATGGAGAAATGTCCACAGTTTTTCTTTTCCCTTTTTTTTTTTTTTTTTTTAAGTTTTAAATTTTTTTTTTTTTTTTTTTGGTACTGGAAATCGAACTCTTCACCTCAGGCTTGCCAGGCAAGCGCTTATGCCACTAAGCTATATCCCCGGCCCTGTTTTTCATCCTCCCTCTACCCTACATTTTTGCAGTGAGACTTTACAGCCTCTTCCATTAGGAGGTGATGCCTGTTTCTCCATCTCTTGAATCTGACCTGCACTTGAGACTTGCTTTAGCCAAGAGAAGAAGGCATAATCATGGTGGACTAGTTCTGGTCCCAGGTATCGAGAGGCACTGAATGTTGCTGTTCCCTCTCTTGGAACCCAGGCTCTGCCATGCTAGCCAGCCCAGGCCATGCTCCTGAAAGATTGTTTGCGTTGAGTTTCTAGAACTTTTGTGAGGGACACTAGAAACTAAGGCCTGAGTACCTACTACATGCTGGGCATATGACTTCATGTGGGCTAGAGATTATTATTCCCATTTTACAGATGAGAAAACCAAGTCTTAGAGAAGGAAAGAAAGGGTGCCCAAGTCACCCAGCAGAAGCAGGGCTACAGACCAGATCTGTCTGAAGCTATACCCCTTTCCCAAAGCTCCACTGAACCCTAAGCTGGAGAAACTCACGTGCATGACATTCACACTCTTATTAAAAATCTGCACATAGGACTTCAGGATGTCAAAGTGGAAGGCAGGTGTCAGCATGCGACGGTGGCGGCTCCACTTGTCACCAGCACTCAGCAAGAGCCCATCCCCTGGTGGGGCAGCCATGGGTGGTGGGCAAAGGCAGCTCGTTCCCCTGGCCCCCCAGGTTGTCCCTGAGCCCCTCCACCTGCAGGTACTCACCCAGCCAGGGTCTCAGGAATCTGTAGAAGACCGTGTCCTTGGGTGCAACCGTAGCTGACATGAAGGAGAACCATCAGGGGCCACAGAATCCACTAGGAAATGGAAGCTCCCAGCCAAGGCTCCGCATTTCCTCCCTCCCAGCTCAGCATGGCAGGAAGGGATCCAGGGACAGAGGAAGCAGGGAAGAGGGGGATGCAAGGAGGGAACTAGACCAAGAAGCGGCAGCCAGTAAAGCAAAGGCACACATGTCCCGGCGTGCCTTGACACAACACCTACATGGTCCCACATACTCTGTGACACCGAGCACAGCTCAGCACTCTACAGCACACCTTTCAAGGACCTAGGACACCCTGTCTGTCCCATTACTCTGTGGCATCTCCTGACATACAGTGGAGCATAGGACATGAATGCAACATGTGTTATCATGACTTGTTATGGATGCAACATACATGGCCTGCCCTAACATGACACATGGCCTGACATGGACCTGAGACAGTTTGTCATGACCTAAGTGTGCCCTACAGATGAGTCCTAAACAGGACTCAGTATGGCCCTGTTAATGTCCCAGGTAGCCCTTAGCCTCCCTCAGGACGCTCCTCCACTCTATACCAAGCATTAAATGCTTAGGATCAAGGGCTGCTTCATCCTTAAAGAGACCAGAGGGTGCTGCCCTTCCTTGTATGCTGAGCTCCACCCACCACAAAGAGCGTCCATTGCCCCTACAGCCCCTCGAGCAGCCCCAGAGCCCACTAATGACCGTGGACTAGTCTAAGGTCTGTTGGATCTTCCTCTATGATACTCTGATACTCCCTCCCAAATCGACCTCCAGTTTAGGCCCGCTTCCACCAGAGGCAGCTAAGGTGCACAAGAACGCACAGAACTAGCAAGGAGGCCTTGGTATTCTCATTTTTTTTGTTTTGTTTTGTTTTTGTTTTTTCTCCGGTACCGGGAACTGAACTCACGACCTTGCGCTTGCCAGGCAGGCGCTTTGCCGCTGAGCTAAATCCCCAGCCCCAAGCCTTGGTATTCTCTATGGCCTTGAGAAGTCATGGTGCCTCCCTGAGCTTCCAGGAACTGCCCATCTCACCTGGATCCTGCTGGATGGACGTGTCCTCCTTTCTAGCACCCTCCCCCTTCTTCTGAAACCAGCAGCTCATACCTCTCCCTGTCCCAACCCAAGCAGCGGAGGGTGGCCATCGCCACCACGAACTGGGCTTACAGCCACAAGCCTCAGGTACTGGATAAAGAACTGATCCTATTCCCAACCAGGCAAATTTAAGAGAATCCTGAAACTCTTTTGGAAGTAGTAGGAATTCTCCCTGGGGATTGAACTTCTAGGACTCATCTTTACCAGCACAAGCATGAAGCCATCACAGAAGGAAACAGAGCTAAGATATTAAGACTCCCGGTGGCTTTGTTGCAAGACCCGGACCCAGCCATGGCTGGAGACCACATTCCTTGGACTTTACTATCAATAGATTTGCTTTCTGTGCTTAGACCACACAGAGTTGAGTTTCCATGACTCACAACCAAAAGAGACCTCAGCAACCAGGAAGAACCAGGGACCTGTCTGGGGTCATCCGGAAGGTTGGAGGCAGAGATACGGTCTCTGCTGGTGCTTCCCCTTCCCCTGCCCAGCCTGTGCAGGGATAAGAATGACTAGGAGCAGAGCCAAGGAAGAGCCAAGCCAGGGCTTGGGGTTCTGACTGATACCTGGGGCCTGAAGCAAGGGAGCAATGAACTTAGGGTGGATGAGCCTCAGGACTGGGTAGACGGGCCCGACCCACCAGAGGTGGACATCGCGGAAGTTGTGGCCCAGGTCCTCCATCAGCTTCATGCCTTCCTCGTTGTTCTTTGCCTGAGGAAGGAGAGACTAAGAAAAGTCTCCGCAGGGACCTCAGATGCTACCACTGCCCACTCCATCTCTCTGTTCGCTCCACCCCCACCCCTCTGGTCCCTATTACCTGCATCGTTTATCTACGCCTCTCACCGAGGCAACTTCTATTGGTCCATATCTGTCTCTTTTGGTATCTCTCTCTGTCTGTGTGCCTCTCCCGGACTCCTAACTCCTTTTATCTGTTTCCTTCCTAGATAGATGGATGATAGGTAGATGATGATGATGATGATAGATAGATAGATAGATAGATAGACAGACAGATAGGTAGATGAGATATATTGATGAGATAGATACACAGAATATACATAGATATAGACATAAGAGACACAGACAGGGATACACAGATTGTTGATAAATAGGTTTCCTAGATTATAGTTTTACAGATAAATAGATGAGATGAAAAACAGAGAAGGATATACAGTTAATAGGTAAGAGAGAAGAGATAAGGAGGTACAGAAGATGGACAGATAAGACATGCCACATAAGATAGATAGGTAGATTTTATGATAGTGATAGGAAGAGAAGATAAAATAGATCAGAAGGACAGATACAGCTAGGTGTGGTGGTGCATGCCTGTAATTCCAGCACTCAGAGGGCTGAGGCAGGAGAATCACCACAGGACGGAGGCCAGCCCAGACTACACAGTGAGTTCAAGGCCAGCCTGAACTACACAGTGAGACCCTGTCTCAAAAAAAAAAAAAAAAAAGCCAACTATAGGTACATGTGCATGTGTGCACGCATTTCCTTACTCCCTATTTATCTGTCCCTCGCTATGTGTCTTTTGCTCCATTATTTCTCTCACTCTTTCTGCTATCTGTTTCTTCCTCTCCCTGTCCTGCTCTATGAGTATGTCCCTCTTTCTTTGGCTCTGATTCTCTCTCTTCCTCTGTGTGTGTGCGCCTGCGTGTGTGTCTCTCCCCCACAACACCTTACCATTCACCCCACTCAGACTCAGACACAGAATAAACTCACAGTTCATTTCCCTCTCTTCAACTCTCTCCCTTATCTCTAGCTCCAGCATAGCCCCGGCCACTAGCTCTGGCCGAGCATCTTCCCGGCTTTGCAGCAAACACGCTTGGGCTCCCTCCCTCCAATCTGGGTTTCCAGCTCTGGGGAGATATGAGAAATTCACTTTGGGGAGGAACTGATGGTCAGCTCAGGAACTGGACCCACATGTAAGGAGGAGCCTCCAGGACAGAGAAGGTGAAGGAGGGTTAGGACCCTGTGGGATCCCTTATGAAAAGGTCAGGGGAAAGAGAAGCCAGCAGTGGAGACAGAGGGGCCACAGGGAGCCTGGGGGAGAGCAGGCGAGGGTGTCATCCTGGAACCAGAAGAGGTTTGTGGAGAGACACAGAAGTCAGCCCAGCAGAGAGCTGCTAGCAGGTGGCAAGATGGGGCTGGGAGGTGTCCGTGGGATTTAGAGGCTTGGAGAACACAAGCGATGGGGTGGAGACAAGGTGAGTAGCGAACAAGGACAGGGGAGCCATGAATGAAAGCGAGTCTTTGTCCGCGAGGAGATGGCACAGCAAGCAGATGACAGGCTCGATGCAGGAGGAGGCGCGTCTGAAGTGAGTGGGTAGGAACTGCCACGTGACCTATCTGGTGTTGTGACTGTCTCCAGCACTGTCATGGGGAAGACATCAAAAGATGCAGGTAGCTGAGCTGGTTGAAGGCCAAGGTTTTCCAAACATCCATGAAGGAAAGCCCCACAGGAGAAGGACTTCAGCCCTCATGATGGGAATCTGAGCTAGATGTGGTCAAGGAAGGAGGACTGCAAGCAAGCTGTAGGACTGGGACGTAGAGGGGCTGGAAGTCCCGGGAGATAAGCAGTGGTGGTGAACCGGGAAGCTGGGAAGACACAGAGTTTAATCAACAGCTTTGGAGGTGATGCCCTCAGGGGTGACGGCAAAGTTCAAGTTAGGACGACACAGCACAGAGCAAGGTCCCTCTGGGGATGAGACTAGGATGGCAAGTGTGGAGCCCCGGGCAGTGGAGCCATTATGGCAGAGTGAGCCCTCTGAAAAAGAGTGGTTGGAGTGAGGGTGCTGCCCAGGGACAGGGTGCATGCCTCATCCATACGACAGACCCTGGGTTCAATCCCTACTACGACAGAGACAGGGAGAGAGGGATCAGCTTTTAGCCAAATTGGGTGGGACGGGTGTCCACTGATCCATCTTTGGGTGGAGGGAAGGTAAGGAGGGGAAAACCCTGAGGCACTGGAGGGGAAGTGCCCACACTTCTCCTATCTCAGAGGTGCCCCTTTGGGTAGGGTGGGAGGGTCTTGGCTCATTTCCACGGTGTGACAGCCTGGAGAGACGCAGGCACTGGCCTGGAGTCGACAGAGATGAACAGGCAGTGCGTAGCCCTGGGACAGTGCCCCTGCGGGGACCTTAAATCCAGACGTGAAAACTACAGACAATGAAGACAGTGGGTCTCTTCTCTGCATGGCCTACTTTGGGGGCTCCCCCCAAGTAGAGAGGAATGCATTCATACGGGGAGCAGAGGCAGAAATATGGCCCAAAGCAGCTGGGGGAAGGGAAGGGGAAAAAAGAAAGGCCTGGGGTTATGAGGAAGAGCAAAGCAGACATGATGATGGGGTGAGCAAAAAGGGGTCCCTGAGCTTTCCTCGTTCCTCTGCCACCCTAGACTCCAGCCAGCACCCCAACTCCCAGCCCCCTGGTTCCCTTCCTGACCCCTCAGGAATCCACCACCCAGACACCCCAGGCCTCTTCTGCTGCCACACTCACCATACCCAGGTGACCCCAAAACCAGTTCCTTCTGGGAGGCTGTGGGAAACATCGGAGGCGGCAGCAGTAGTCATAGTAGGCATAGATCCGGGCCAGAATTCGGGCCAAGAGCCAGGAAGCCCCAACCAGCAAGGGGAGCTGCCACAGGGAGGCTGCCACCGGCCCCAGTCCCGGCCAGGACAGGCTCAGCTGGGTCATCCTGGACGCAGAGAGGGCACAGAGGGGGCTCCCAAGTGCCAAGGAAAGGGACAGGGACCCTGGAGAGGGGCAGGGACTGGGAGAGTTGGGGGAGGACAAGGAGGTAAAAGGAGACCCAAGGACTGAAGGAAGAAAAGGCAGAGGGGAGAGGAGGAGAACAACATGGGGGCGGGGACGGAGGGGGTGAGAAAGAGACAAACAGCGAGGTGGGGGAGAAGTTGTTCAGAATGCAAACTGGTTCAACCAGGAGCACAGAGGAAAGGCCAGGGGCTCAGCTACCCAGAAACTACACTGTTCTGGGCAGTTCCCTCCCTGGGGAGCCCCCTCCGCACCCCACGTCGGAACCTTCCTTCCACCCCCCGCCTGGTACCTTCTGTGAGAAACGACCTGAGAGTTACAAGCTCCTCTCCCCTCCTCTAGAACGTCTAGCTCCAGCTCAGGGCCTCCAGCACGCTGTGGAAGGCTGGGCCAGGGCTGAGCCGGGCTGGGCCAATCCCCACAGACCCAGCTGCTCCTCCCCACCTGGCAGGAGGCCAAGACTCCAAGGCCGGAAGGCTGGTGTAGTGGGAGCAGCCTCAGGGTCACAGGCAGGGTGAATGGAGCCTCAAGACTCAGATGACTCTTAGCCCCCGTGTTTACAGCAGCACCCGCCCTTCCAAGGCCAGGGTACAGCGGAGAAAAGCAAGAACCAGAGGGTTCGGGTGCTAGGAGACCAAGGCCAGCCCAAATCTGCTCCCAAAAATCTGAGCTCCTCTCCAAGTGTGGGCTGGGAGGACTGTACCCACCACTTCTCAGTGCAAAATTAGGAGGCTCAGAGAAGCTGGGCGTGGTGATCCCAGCACTCGGGAGGCTGATGGCGGGAGGGCGGGGATGGTGGAAAGCTCAAGGCCAACCTGAACTACACAGCAAGACCCTGTGTTAAGGTTTGTATCTAGATGACCTCCTGCACTCACAGGAGGGTTTGAGGGAGGTGACTGGATAATGGAAGCAAGATGCTCATTGGTGGAGGAAGTGGGTCCCTGGGGGCAAGGCCTGGAAGGGTCTATCTCCCTCCTGCTTCCTTGTTAGCACGCTCCTTCCTGCTGCCCCACCGGAATCCCCCCTCCTCGGAGCCAGCTCACAGTGGACTGAAAAAGATCGACTAACTGTGAGGCGAAACAGACCTATTCTTCCCTCAAGTGTAGATGTCAGATACTTTGTTCTAG